GCAGAAGCTGGAGGAGGCTGAGAAGGCAGCTGATGAGAGCGAGAGGTGTGATGGGAAGGGATAGCGGGGGTGGCATCAGATCACTGCTGATTGCAGGCAGCCCCCTTGGTTTCACAATGGGGTCCCTCTGAAGTGGCCTTATGGAGTTTGCATTCATTTTCCTGCAGACCCTAACACCACAATGCACAGAAATCCCCCATATATGGGCATTCTTTAAAAAGGCTTTGAAATTTCCAGGGTACCCATAAAATCCTGAAAAAAAAATTGGTGTGGTATTTATACAAAGATCAGGCTGTAATCAAAGCCAGAGGGTGCTTGGAGCTTGTTTTCTGCCCTAGAGCAGCCTGCTATGCCCAAGGGCTGAACAACAGCCCAGGAGGGGGCATCTGCCTGCAAACCGAGACCAGCTCTAGAGAATGAACCTGCTTCATTTAAAAAAAAAAAAAAAGTCCTGCAAAGTGTGTTGCCCTATCCTTGTGGCAAGCAGGTTTCCCAGGCTGGAGCCGTGCAGGCAAGGGCACTCAGGTTAAATGGGAGTGCCTGGATGTGTCACAGCATTCCTTACATTGCATGAGCTCTTTCCTTCATTGGCAAAGACCAGCTTGAGCAACAGCATCCGAGTGAGAGGAGGAGAGTCTGCAGGAGTTCTTTCCGCGGGGGTTTGATGACCCCCCTGATTGTGAACATCACCCCTGAATGAGAAAAGGCTTTGCCACAGGATGTTTTCTATTATTTCCTCAAGGTCTGGACTGTCAGGCTGCTTTAGGAGACGTTGTGGCTAGCTCGTCCCGGGGTGCACACATTTTCCCCCCTAAATGATGGGTTCAGGAGCTGCCTAGTTGAGAGGCACTGTATCCACATCTTCTCGCTTTGGAACATGGCTCTGGGGCCAGTTCTACTGCTGTAATGGCATGCAGGAGTATCCTTGGGGTACCACTGGTATGACCTTATGACATGGGGTGGCCAGTGAGTGCTGGCATTGCCAGGTGATCTCCCATGTTTTTGGAGGTGGAGGATGGTGGGATTAGGGTGCAGTGGTCAGGCAGGAGGTGCAGGTGCCCCCTAGACCCATGATAGTAACGTTTTCTGGCTTGGGCTTTCCTCAGAGGCATGAAGGTCATCGAAAACAGGGCCATGAAAGATGAGGAGAAGATGGAGCTCCAGGAAATGCAGCTGAAGGAAGCAAAGCACATAGCCGAGGAGGCTGACCGCAAATACGAGGAGGTATGTGTCCCCTTTCCCCAGTCCTGACCCCCCGGCAGCACCTGTGGCCGCCTCCTCGCAGCCCTGTGCCCCCAGCCAGGGTAAGCGCGGGCCCAACGTGTGCCTCTTGCTGCTGTCAACAGGTTGCCCGCAAGCTGGTCGTCCTTGAGGGAGAGCTGGAGCGCTCAGCGGCGAGGGCAGAGGCGGCAGAGAGGTGAGCGGGGGTCCTGGCAGG